CCGGGGGCGCAGGGTCTGGGGGCTGCCCGGCAAACCGTGAAGCCGGTGGTGCTGGGGCAGCCCTTTCCCCGTGGCTGGGAGTGGAAGGGAGGAGGAGGCGGAGTTAGGGCGGGGCTAGGGGTGGGGAAATGGGCAGGGCCAGGGCCCGTGGAGGGTCCTCTTTTTTTATTTATTAGATATGGTAACCCTAATGGCTGCCCCAGGCCAGGCGTCGTGCATTGGCAAGCACTGCTTAGTATGCACGGGAATACAACCACAGAAATGCAGGGCTGGAAGGGACCCTGAGAGGACATCGAGTCCAGCCCCCTGTGCGGAGACAGGGCCAAATAAACCTAGACAGGCATTTGCACGTGCAAATGACAGAATGTACCCATCACGCCATGTGCTAATCCTGTCGGAGCACAGAACCTGGGCCTGACCCGCAGTCTGTGCTCAAGCAAAGTTGCCAGTCGTGGGTGTTCTGCCTGCAATCGTGAGTGCTGGGTTTTAGCCTCTATCATTTACACGGGCAAATGGCTGAAAAATTGGGCACCTGGATTTAAAGGCCTTTAAAGAAAAAAAAAATTGGTCCTTTAAAAGAAAACAAACTTATAGTGTGACCCCAAAAAAGACACATTCAAACCATTCACAGAACACACAGTCCAAAGGCCCAGAACCTGCTGCCACTGCATTCGAAGCCAAAACTCTCATGGACGTCAATGGCAGCTGGATTGAGCTGTGAGTCCTAAAAAATTACCCTGCAAATACAGACAGACTCGTGGTACAAAGATTCTCAATGTTACAGGCGGAAGGATACGAAAAGTAGTCCTCCCTGAAATGCTGGCTGAAATGTTTCTAACATTCCCACCCTTTTGCCCCCTTCACCTGCACTCTGCCCCCTCCCCAGCACTTCCTCCCACATGTACAAAACCAACCCACCAGAGAGGCATTTCCTTCTCCTGCCTCAAATGTAGAAACGCCTCTCTCCTCCCACCCCAAAAATTCCCCCTGCCTGAGGCCCAGGCAGGGCACCATTTAGCTCTACCCCAGGGACACGTTCTGCAGACAAACAACGCCATGGCTTTAATGTCGGATATCTGGGGCCAGGCAGGCTGGAAACGGGGGCTTGCTTCTGCTGGGAAAGGCAGGTTTCCCCCCTGAGGGACCCAGCACTAGCTGCTAGCCCTGGAAGGGCCTGAGGTATCCGGCTTTAACCCCCTGGCTATTATATCTAGGAGAACTGTTTTCGGGGTGTTTGAGATTTACTAACTTTCATTATTCGCTCCCCTCGAGCCCTGCGCACAGGGAGTTGTGGTAACGAAGGGCACGTCTACACAGCAACGGCGCTCAGAGATCAGATCAACTGACCCGAGCTCACGCCGCAGGGCTAAAAATTGCAGTGTAGACATTTGGGCTCCGTCTGGACCCCAAGATCCTTCCTCTTACCTGGGTTTCAGAGCCCGGGCTCCAGCCCCAGCTCAAACATCTGCACTGCTATTTTTAGCCCCACAGTGCAAGCCCAAGTTAGCTGACCTGGACTCTTGCTACCAGCGGGTCTTTTTTGCTGTGTAGACGTATCCTCTGTGGTGCCTGACTTTTTAAGTCGAGGGATACAAGAAATAGTCCCATTACAATTCCTAAAAAACAGTTTTTCTGCAACATGTGAGGCATGCACAGAATATACAGAAGCCTGGCATGGGCCGGTACCTCCTGCCCTTTGTCCATCTCTGTCTATTTGGATGATAAGCTCTTTGGCCAGGGACCTCTCTTTGGATACATCTGTACAGCACCTGGCACAACGGGGCTCCGATTGCCTGGGGCCTGTGTACCTGACCGTAATACAAATACTCCTGTCTATTACTAAAACTTGTTTGGGTTGGTCCCATAACTCACAGATGAGCTTGTCACCTACGAGTAATGCAGCCACCCCAAAGGAGCGCTGATAAAACCCTTTCACCACCCCGTAGTGCCATGTATTATACAAACCCACATAGGCGCATTCTCACACACACACACACACACGACTCTTGGGCTGTGTTTATGCGTTTTTCCATCCTTTTAATACGACATTTTGATCATTTTCCTGACTCAGGGTGAGGGGAAGGGAAATCCCATTCCCGGAGGGCCACTCCTGGAATGGGGGGAAGGGCTGCAACATCCCCTTTCTCACCTTTGACTAGTTTTGTGCTGGACACGCTGTTCCTGAATAGGAGGCGGGTCAACAAAGCCAGTGTAAGGAGGATCAGAAAGGTACAGGCTGGTGGGGGCAGGGTGGAAAGGGTGTTGGGTTGGAAGGCTGCCTGCAGGGGGTGCTGTGCGGCTGGACACCTGTAATCAAGAGAAGAACGCACATTCATTACAGAAAGCAGCCAGGATGGAGGGGCCACCCCTGCTGCAGAAATAACGGTCTATTGGAGATGCCACACGGACAGGAGGGGAGAAAGCTGCCTGGGTGACATGATGCCGTTAGAGGAGTCACTGGGCAGCCGGGGTTGTATCTCCGAGCCCTGGATCTGAAAGCAGGAGCGGAGCAGAAAGACCCTGCAGGGAGACAGAGCACCTCGCTGTACCTCCAATAGCAGGAGGCTTTGCGTGGAGTCTACCCTCCGACACCTGCCTGGGAGCGAGCAACTGAGGCGCATGTACACAGGGTGGAGTCCGGGCCGCTAGCCGAGCACCTCTCAGAAATGGGCAGAGCTGGGGAGTGAAATCCATTGCAGGCCGGCAACAAACCCTGTGATCAGAGCACTTATTACACTTCAAGGAACCCAGCCTGAGGAGACGAACCCTCGTGGGCACGGGTTAGCCTCACACTTCCCGCTCTAGGCTAAGCGGGGTGCTGTACAGGCCAATGCTGGCATCAAACGCACGAGGGCTCCTGCTCACCGTGGGAGGGTATTGGTACATGGCGGCGTTGCCAGGGTCGATCTCGGCCATCGACTGCATGTCGGCGTCTCTCGCATTCACCACCCGAAGGTAAAGCTCCGTCTTGCCAGCCTGTGGGAGGAGCCAGAGGTCAGGTCTGGGACTGGAGAGGGATCATCACTTGGCTTTGGACAATGCAAGGCCTGGAGTAGCCAGGTTGTTCTGCATTTCAGACATCCACCATTTTTTGCTCTAGCCCCGTCTTAAAAACAGGGCTAGCGTTTGTTTTTTCCACACTTGCCGAGCCCAGTAAGGGCTGCAGGGATTTTGCTGAAGCTTTAAGCGAATAACTAACTGACCTCGAAGGCAACAGCATGAGAGCCTCACCCCAGAACGAGGAGGGAACGACCCAGACAGGGGGAAGGGGAGGTGTCCTGGATCTCAGGAAGGCCCTACTCACCTGAGGGATCCCGTTCAGCTGTTCTGTTGTGAGGCCCGGCTGCACCGGAAGCAACCGGACCGGAATCTTCCATCGCCCACTGATCAGCTGGTGGAGCTGGTCAAAAAGGTTGATTTTGGCCCATCCCCGGGAGGCCAGGCGCTGGATCTCCTGCCCGTAGGCGTCGAAGCCCCCAGAGGCCTGCAGCTCCATCACCAGAGCGATGGACATTGAGGGCCGGACTCTGGAAGGCGGGGACGAGGGAAGCCGTTATGGACAGAGGTGTCACAGAAGCAGGCCGCTTCACGGCCTCTCTTGGCAGAGCTGCTCTCTGTGCATTGCCTGGTTCAGAGCGTAAGCTCTCCAGGGCAGGGACTGGGGCTGGTTCTTAAAGTGCCACCCACATTTACCAAGCAGGGGAACCGGTTTCTGGGTCACGGTAATCGATAGCCTCTCGCGTGTTCGCAACATCCCGAACAGCACTAATCAGTTCACGTCACACCTGGCTGGGGCTCTCAAACAGGGACTGCAATCCCACCAGGTCAGCAAAGACATACTAGCAGCTCCGCCTAGGAACGCTAACCTAGCCAATCATCAGGGCGGCCGTGCCCGGTGGGACGAAGCTCGGGCACCCCGCTGTAGCCCACCGTGCAACGCTGCACAAAGGAACGCAGGGTCTGTTATCGCAGATCAAACCACTGGCCCCCCCAGTCTGGGGTGCTTTTTCCAACAGTGACCAACACCAGATGCTCAAGGGAAGGGAAAGCAGATGACATCCAGCTGATTTTGCAGTGCTGAACATGGAGGGAAAGTGTTCCTTGGCCAGCTGGTCCCAACCACCAGTTAAAGAGATACGGGGTGTAGCAGGGAGGAGGAAGAGGGTTAATTCATTCCATACATTCAGGAAGAAGGCAGCAGGAGTTTGCCAACGCAGCTCACCTTGGGACCGGCTGTTTAGCCGATAGGATTGCACCGTTGCCTCTCTGCCCATCTACTACATACGGTGGGGACTGGCCCATTTGGCAGTAAGCGACAGGGAGAGGAGTTGGCTTGCCCATCTCCTGCCCATCACGGTAAAGCCCAGCCACCAGGCAAACCTGGAAGAAGGTAGGGTCCAAGCCCAGCAGGAAGTCGTAGAATATCACAAAGCCGGTCCTGGGAGGGAGGGAGAGGAGGCAGAGAGACAGGTGAGGAGAACCCTCTGCACTGCACAAGCATCCCCGGATGGGGAAACTGAGGCACAGAGCGGCGCAGTGGGTTGGGTGATAAAACCAAGTAGTCCTGATACCCAGAGCTCTGCTCTAGCTACTAGGCCACACTCCTGAAGGCAGATGTTGACTACAGTGAAAAGCTCCTGGGTATCTGGTGGAAGCTCCCCCTGCTAGGGCGGGTCATTTGCCAGCAGCAGCCTTTGAAGAGTGTGTGTTGCAATGACCCCACTACACAGAGGAAGCATTTGATGCCTGGCTTCCTCCAGAGGTGGAGAGCAGCAGCTGCAGTTTTACAACAGGGATTATTAACAGTTATTGCTGGGGAGACATGATCCAGCTCTCTCGTGCCCTGTTTCCTTTCTCCTGCTGAAGCAGGCTGGTCAACATGTTCTCAACCCCCCCTGGGGCAACTCATGATGGCCAGTTCCTGACTACAAATCAGAGTGATGATTGCAGCAAAGGATTATGGGATATAGGGGTGGCTGGCCAATGACAAGACACGTACGCTGGGTCATACGGAGCAGGTCCCAGAGCGTCGGGAGGGTCCAGCAAGTATCTGCTGAGATGGGTCTGAGGTCCCATTCGGTCCTGCAACAGGCAGAAATAGCGTGAAGAGCTTCCAGACTGGCCCCCGTGCATCACAAACAGCAGCACAGATCAGCCAGACGCTGGGCCGTGACTGCTAGAACTCACCTGCTGCCCACAGAGCGAATCGGGGTCAGAGAAAGAAGAGACTGGTTCAGTACGTGATCTAGTGGGATTGTTCCTTCTGGTGTTCTCGTACATTCTCCAGGTTAGTTTCTAAATGCCTCTACTCACTCGCTGAACATTAAGCCCATGATTAAGGGCTGACTTGAGGCCACGAGCACACAAATGACCCGTGGAAGTGGCACTCTCAGTTCCCAGCCTTCCGTCCAATTCCAGAGCCACTCAGCTCAGAGTTATGAATCAAAAGATGCGTTTTCTAACCCCCCCCCCCCCCGTTGCCACAAACCCCACCTGACCCTGAAAAAGAAGTTGGAGCCTCTCTCACGCCAGCATCGTCAGCCTCCCTCTGACCTATGTGCTCATACAGCGCCCATCACCATTGCACCTGGGCACCTAGCAGCCCAAAGGGGAGGGGAACCCAGCTCGCTTTGCTGTAGCTGCGCTGGCTCTGTGGGGCTGGCAGCAGGAGAAACCGTCTTTGGGTCAGGGACGCGCAGGGAGCAGGCAGGATGGATGGGACAATGACACCGTCCCATTTCTGGCCTTGCAGATGTTAACCGGCCGTGTGGGCACCTGGAGACAAGCGGCATGCTGTGCACACGTGGGGTTCGGGTGTAGCTGTCAGTGTCAGGACAGAGACACCCCTGGGGTCTACAGCTAACCATCCACCAGGTGTCCTGATCCCACAGTCACACCCAGCTTCCTGCGAGCAGGACTGTAATTACAGCTGCCGCTAGAGGACACACAAAGCACCATGGGAACTATTAGCACATGCCGAATCTGGGCACTTGGGAGGTCAGACAGCAAGTGTGAAAAATCGGGACGGAGGTTGGGGGTAATAGGAGCCTATATAAGAAAAAGACCCAAAAATCCTGGATTATTTCAGCCCCGTAAGTGGCTCCCGGAGACATTAAACGTCAGCTACCAAGGCAATAGAAGAGCTTGTGGGCCCCACCCCACATCCCCAGGGAAAGGACTCACCATGAAGGGGAGTTCACGCAGGCCTGGCAGAGGCAGGGGCAGGGGCGGTGGCAGGGGTGGGGCCACTGGCGGTGGGAGCATGGGTGGCGACCTCCTCCCAGCCCGTCGTGGCTGCACCCTCTCTGCCTCACGTCTCAGCATCCCGACCTCGGCGTGCAGCTGAGCCAACTCCATCGCGTGTGCCCGCTGCTGCTCCGCCAGCTCCTTGTCCAGCACGCCTGGGGGAAGGGAGCCAGAAAGCAGAGGGGAGGCGCACTGCCAAGCAGCCTGAACGCAGGGTGCCATCGTGGGTCCTGGTCCACCCGGGCCACAGGGGAAGGGAGGGAGGGGAGCAGCCCAGATGCCCCACTCACTGCGCTGGTTCCTCATTCATCTTCACTGGACTGCCATCTGACGGGTCCCTGCTCCCCCCACACTGCCCCCAGGGTACCGCAACCCCAGCATGCCCGGCACCACGCAGCTGGGCACAAGGAGTTCTTAGGGCAGAGCTCCCAGCTGCAGGAGATCAGGAGCATGGCACAATCTCATCTGTTGCCAGCCGCCTTTCCTTGACGGAGGAGGCAGCAACTCTCTGGCCAGCAAGTCCTTCCTCCCCTTTGTTCTCGCCACCAAAGGGCAGGGCGATGTATGAAACTGAGCGGGGGGCGTGGGGCTGCAAGGCAAGGGACCTACAAGGATGTCACTGACCCGTCATGTCCTCGTACCCGGTGAGCAGGTGTCACAGTGACTGGGGCAGCAGGGATAGGGAAAGATAAACAGTAATAGATGCGCAGGGACACCCATCCCAGGCAGGCACCTGCCCTACTGCAGATGTCTGCAGCTTCCCTTCACTATCACAGTCATGAGCTGCCCACAAGCTGGTGCCCTGTCATGGCATCAGAGGGGATGGGCAGGAGACAGGAAAGCACAGCACCTACCGCAACCAATATCAGCTCCCTCCCCTGGGGTTGGACAGAGCCATCGGGCCAGCAGCTCCCGCAACAGGGCTGCTGTTAATTAACATGGCGCTTGGCTGGTGTTTTACGAGACGTGTAACTGGAAAACATCTGAGCTACAGTATATGCACAGCAGGCCGGGGGGCTCCCTCCAGCAGGAGCTGTGTACAGTATTACCATGGCTTATTTAATGACCCCCGCACACACACCATGGGTCATTGGCAAGGACTGACCGTGGCATCTTCAGCACCAGAGCACAGGTCTCCACCACTAGAGCTGAGGGAGTGATACCAATAACTGGCAGCAGTAGTAGGTTCTTTCCCTCTGTGTGGTGTCTGCAGAGGACACCACATGCATCTCAGGATGCATTAACAGCCCCCTCTCCCAGCACGCTGCGCTATCAAAGCATCAACGCAAGGCACCACACAAGGAACACACCAGCAGTGACCAGAACACCCTCGCTCAGCCGGGTGCTGAATCCTGGCGCCCGGGCAAGGGGTGCATTGGTGTCACGTTCAGAAGTGATGGCTAGTGTATTTACACATTTACCGGCAGCCAGCAAGGGAGAGGGATGCAGACCACACCGGGCCAAGCCCTGGCGGGTGTCAGAATAGTGCAGAGGGATGGCTGACAGCCCAGGGGAAAGGGCAACACATTTCCCGGACACCCTGGGATTGGTACTGTTATGGAAACGGAGCCGAACTAGGAGATCCCTCTAGCTGTGCCGCCTGCTGTGACCTCCGAATGGAGGCCGAGATGCGGCGTCAGCTGGCATCGCTTGGCCACAATATCACAGAGGCGACTGGTGCATTCTCCCACAGGTACCCCACACCCCACTGTGCTGCAGTCCCTGGGATGCCACCAACAGCCAGCCCCGTTCAGGCTCTCACGGGGATCCCTCTGCGCCACCTGCTCCGTGCTGCGGAGAGAGGCCGGACATGCCCTGCCTACCGTCATCCACCCTCCTCTTATCCCTCTGCATCTTCAGCTTAAAGAGCTCGTCCTCCAGCCGCTGATTCTCCAGTTCCACAGCCAGCAGCTCTGCGTCCAGGCCCCGGGGGCCAATGCCGGCCGCCTGGTGTTCTGCAATCACAGCAAGGGGGAGACGCTCAAAGTTACACACAGGAAGAGCTGTGCTGGGGGCGTAGAGAGAGCACAAGGGACTTGCACCTTCCACTGCCAGGCGCCGGCGGGGAGCATTCGAACTCAGACCCGAGGCCTTGGCTTCATGGGGCCTGTTGCCTGCTAGGTAGGAGTGCGGCGGCCTCTGGGGTTAGTGCTTTGCAGCTGTTCAGGTGCAAAGCGACATTAATGCTGCCCCTGAGTGCGCTAATCCCAGGCTCCAGACACCTGGAACAACCCCCACCCCAAGGGATCCCTGGGGGAGGGGCAGGAGGGACTTACTTTTCTTCCTCTCCTTGTGTTCCTGCCTCCCAGCCGCCCTCTCCAGCGCCGTGGCCTCCACCTGCAGGTCGTACATCTGCGCCAGAACGGCAGGGTCGCTCCCCCCGCCCTGCAGGTAGGCCAGGTGCAGGGCTCTGAGGGGAAGCAGATCGGAGTCAGGTTCCTGGGAGTCTGCACTGAGGGAGCCTCTCTCAGCCAGGGGTGACATGCTCTGAGTACCTGAGCGCAACCCCAACCCCAACCCCAGCCCGAGCCTCAATAGGTACAAAATACCCCGCCCAGCCCCGCAAATGCAAAGCTGACAACGTTTAGATACGAACTGAATCACCTCCCCACAGCAGGCAGGCAGGCAGGCACACCCACATCAGGCAGGCAGGCACACACACACACACACACACACACACACACACACCACACACAGAGCAGGCAGGTACACACAAGCCGAGGAGCCAGGCAGGTAGACACACACACAGATGGGCAGCAACAGCAGACACTGGACAACCCCACAGCAGGTGGGCAGAGACACAGCACAGACAGAGGGAGGTGGGGACAGACAGAGAGCAGAGACAGCACACAGGCACACAGACTTATTAACCCCTTAGCTGCTGGGTTCCAGTGCCCTGTCCGTGAGGCCCAGAGGTATTCAGGCAGCGAACTGCCCTTGAGGTCAATGCTCTGAAGGCAGTTCCATGCAGCCATGGGCGGGTGCTGAAGCGTGGCTGTCCCGCACCCCTGGCGGGGACGCTGTGGCACTGCTCAGGGCAGTTCACTTTTGCTTGTCCTCACTGCGGCATTGTGTGCGTGGCCATAAGGGCCCCAGAGGTCCCTCCATCTGTCTCCCCCCTCACAGGCACCCGAGCTGTGCTTTTCTCTAGCCCCACGTCATGCACCCCCACCCCAGACCCAACACAATCCTAGTGGAGAGCCATTAAGCTGGAGGCTTTAAGGGCCAATCCGGCCTGGCCCCCAGATGCTGGGCTAGACGGGACCTCGAAGGCCATCTCCATCTCTCCCTCCCGAGATCCATAGCAGGAGCGGCCCCATGTAACTGCACCAAGGACGCCCCAGTTACGGAAGGGCTGTGCCGGCCTGGGCCCCCGCTGCTTTGGTGGAGACGCCGGCAGCTGGGCTTGTGCGCACCTCATTTCCGAGGAGAGGGGCCCGGCAGCCGGAGGGAATGGGATGAGACTGATGGAGACCTTCTCGCCCACCTTCTCTGCGGCCCCGGCTGCGTTGGTACGGCTGTCTGGCTCCAACCTGCTTCTGAAAATGAAACCAAAGCAGGGCGGGGAGCGAGATCTACCTGGGTTGCTGCTCCCCACCGGCGCTTCCCCTCTGGCCCCATCTCCTAAATCAAACCCACAGCAGGAGCTGCCTTGAGACAGGAAACACTAAGGAGCCCAAAGGTCCCTGGGATTATCTCTGAGTCTTTGTCGGACAGGAGAGAGAAAAACCAGCATGGCCTAGAGACACCTCCCTCCCCATTTATATTATTAGCTTTGACCTCATCTTGCACCTGTCCCTTCACACGCAGGCCCGAGGCCATCTCCTCCGCAGCTCCCACTGCTTGGAGCAGCCCCTGGGTCCCCCTCGCCGTGTATTTTCAGATCCCAGCTGAAGGGTGAGGCCCTTCCCCCTCTGCATTCAGCCTGGTGCCTGAGAGCTCCCCTCATTCACCATGGAGAGCCCCTAACTCCACAGCTGGGCTCAGATCGACACCTCACACAGCAATTCAGGAGCCTCAGGGAGCGTCCAGGATCGGGGCACCCACCATCAGCACCCGAGGCTGGGCCCATGAGGTCCATGCGCCGGCTTCCTGGAACGGCGTTCTACTTGTGACCGTCCCATCTCCAGCACCGTTTAACTCTCTGGAGTATCCTGGGGCCCGGTCAGCTCCTAGGGGGTCTGTGTGCGAGACTGTGCTATAGGGAATCACGATGCTGCAGGCTGACAGATCACAGCATCGGCCCCACTCCCCTCCCCTCCCCGTGGTAGCAACACAAGCTCTTCCTTCCACCTAGAAGCGAGAGAGACACCTCCTGCCAGGCCAGGGATCAAGAGACCAAGGAGCAGGGCGTGGCGGGGGGCTCTCCCAGCTCCCCAGCAGTGCCATACTGCCCCCACACTAGGCTGGGTCCTCACCTCGTGTCTGCAGCCTGCATGAGCCCAATCTGGTGTCTCAGAGCATCCAGCGCCAGCTGGTTCTTCCCCTCCTGGGCCTTCAGCTCCAGCAGCAGCTGCTCGACGTGCGCGCTGGAAGAGTTGCTGAGGGCCAGCTCCGACAGGCGCCTGCGGATTTCTGCGGGACACAGGGATAGCCTCACCGCACGAGACGCCAGTCGGCCCAGCGGGATCCCCGCCTCTCTCTCTGCCAGGCCGCATCACAAACACAGTCCGGTCTCCCTGCTTCCCACCTGATTGGATCTGGATCTCGCTCCAGCACATCCCTGGACGCCGAAGGCGGCTCTGGTTGCTGGAGACCCAGCAGGGGTGTGTAACCCTACCCGGTGGGTGTGGGGTTCTCCCATCCATTTAGTGACATCCCCCTCTTCTCTGGGATGCCCGGGCCAATGGGAACCATGCGTCAGCCCATGTACAGCGTCAAGGCTGCCTGTCTGCATTCGCCTGCCTCCCAGGATGTTCCAGGTTCGCTGCCCCACTGCTAAATGGGAATGAGTATGAAGGGGAGAGAATTCAGCGTAGGGGCAATGTGCATGCTCCCCCCTCCTCCTACCCTCTCCCTGCTGCTCCAGATGCTGGTTCCTGGCCTGGATAGCAGCCATCTGGTGCTCGTGCGCCTTTGCTATCTCCTGCAGCCGCTCCTTGTACCCCTGCCGGTGGGAAATCCGACGGCCAGCATCCTCCTGGAGGACAAGCAAAGCCCACAGGAGCAGAAAGCACAACAACAACCAGAGCCAGTTCAAGTCAACGTCCATGCAAGGGCGGAGGAGCCCATGGGGTGCGGACGATGACCCCATTCTGGACGAGCTCAAAGGGCCCTCGACTGGCTCAGCCAGGGAAGGGCGACAGACGTGCTGTCTGCCCAGTTCACACGCGACACAGGGTTAGGGGCCCAGATTTAAACCGGAGGAGGCTGGGAGCAAGGTGGGGGGGGGGTCCCCAGCTCTGGAATCTGCTCTCCGTTCTGAGCCAGTAGAATCAGGGTTCAGCACGAGGCTCATCCCTTCAGCCAACAAGGCGGGACGGGACGCACTGGGGCAGCTCTAGCTACCTGTGGGTCTCGTTAAGTTTGCAGAGTTGCCAACTCTCACGACCTGGGGATTTTCTTAAAGCCGAAAGCCTTGCTCTGCCCATAACCTCCTCTCTCTCACACCCCAGAGTGGCTTCAGCACCATCACTGAGAGAAGGCTGTTGGGTCCACAAACCCCGGGTCTATGTTACGTGTTTGTGAGCCACATCTGCTGGCCCCCAACTTTTAACTAGGTACATATGTAAACAGTCGCTCTAGCGACAGGAGTGACTTCAGGCCCCTGCAGACCTGGGCAGGATCTGAACCAGTGACCAAAAGCCTTCTCTCTGTATCCCAATGTCCGAGGCGTTCCAACGTCTTCTGCACGGGTTCTAATTGCCTCCCCTTCCCTGCATATTTTCCAAGTCACAGAGTCGCCGCTTGCTTGGGTTTACCTCTGGCTTCAAGGGTTGGAGAGCAGGGACAGTGTCCTCCAGAGACATCCTCAGTTTGTGGAACTGTTAAAAGAAACAGAAGTGATCATGTCCTGACAGACATTCCCTCCTTTTGTATCAGCACAATATAAAAGCTAGGATAGGGACCCAGAGGTAGCTAGGGATTGCTGATGCATTAAACCCCTTCAAAGGTGCTGGTGACAGAAATAACTCAGCTAACCCTGAAGACCCTTCAAAGGTACAAAACAAGTGACTGAATCTTTACCACACACACACCAGTGTTATCTCATGTCCCTAGAAATGTCAAGGGTCTTTTGCTAGCTTTTCAAATCACCCCATGATTTCCCCGGAACCCCAAAATACATCAGCCAAGAACCCAGGGCCACACTTATGGAGGCAAAGTGTAGCAACCTGCATGGAACTCAGAGGGAGGAGCACAGGTTGCAGGAGGGAAGAGTTTGGAGAAAGCACCAGGCCGTTAGTCTGTGTGTACATGGCTGGAATACTTTGCTGCAGTTGCAGCACCTCTGTAAATAGTGCTCTTCATAAAGAGCTAATTTAGTTTTACACGCATGGAGTCCTTTCATGATATTACCCGGCACACAGTACATGAAACACAAAGGGTCACTCCCCCATCCACCCGGTGCTGTGGTGTGCAAAGCAGCACTGGTGACTCCTGAGTTCGTGCCAGGTGGGGTGAAACTCTCCCCTCAATGTGCTGCTTGAAGTGCACAGGACTCAGATTTGCATCCCAGGAGTGTGTGGAAGGGGCAGCAGCCTCCCTAACCCACACAGGATGCTCAATTGCCAGAAGCGTCCATATCCCATCTCCCGATTCGGTCTCTGGACCCTTGGAATGGGGATCTATGGGATGCACGGAGGAGCTGTGGTTGGGAACCGGGGAGGGTGAGGACCCAATGTAGAGAAGCAGGGAGCTCCGAATTCCAGCCCAACCGTCACCATCGCTTGCACTCAGTACCTCCTCTGTCAGCTTCCTCAAGGCCCGGCTGTCTGAGGGGCTCCCTTTAAGCTCATAGCCTCCGAGAAGGTTCCTCTCGCGGTCGCTCAGGAAGTCCTGCGGCTGCTGTCCCAGACGGACTCTCCTCACCCGCGGGTCGCCCAGCTGCCGCTGCTGGAGCAGAAAGCAAAGGAGCATAGCACAGGTGAGCGACAAACGCACGGGCCCATTAACGTACGTGCGCGTGCAGGGGAGCAGAGCTACATCGCCTGGAGCAGCAGGTCTCAGACCTGGGAAACCTGCACTGGGTCTACGACCTCCAAGACTTGGATCCAGGCAGCTGTAATGGATTCTTACTGACACTGTACTTTAAACCAGGGGTTCTCACTCTTTCTTTCTGAGCCCCCCGCCCCGCCCAAATGCTATAAAAACTCCACAGCCCACTTGTGCCACAACTGTTTAGCTGCATATAAAAGCCAGGGCCGGCATTAGGGGGTAGCAAGTAGGGCAATTGCCCAGGGCCCCACGCCATGGGGTCCCCACAAAGTTAAGTGCCTCAGGCTTCGGCTTCAGCCCCTGGTGGCAAGGCTGGGAGCCCTGGGCTTCAGCTTTCTGCCCTGGGCCCCAGCAAGTCTAACACTGGCCCTGCTTGGCGGCCCCCTGAAACCTGCTCGCAGCTCCCGAGGCGGCCCCAGACCCCTGGTTGAGAACCGCTGCTTTAAACCATTCCTCGAGCCACCTGGCCGCAGCCCCTAGGCCAGGGGCGAGGGCCTGGCCCCCTGCAGTCAATGAGGAGTTTTGCCACGGACGTCAATAGGGCCAGGATTTCAGGCAAGGGATACGTGCACCACTGTCTGAGAACCGCTGCCTTTGGAAATCTCCGGCTTCGTTTCCATGTGGCCAGCTGCATGTTAGGGTGATCCCCATTCTCACCTAAAGGGGTCACTGCTTTAGCCCAGAGCTGGGGCAAAATAGCGAAATTTGATTACCTGCCCCACCCCCCAGCCAGGCCGCCTCCCAGAAATGCAACACACCAGGTGAATGCCCCTCTGCAATATCTGTATGCCCCCAGGAGGCCCTTCAGGACTAGGGACGGGCTGAAGGTCCAAGTGACAGTCCCATGTTCTCCTGCGGGGGGATACGCTGCTCGCAGCAGGAAGTGGAAGCTGTATGGAGGAAGCTATGGTGATGGGAGTGGGCGGCAGGGATGAGGTGCTGGGAAGCCTGTGAGACGGGCTCAGCCTCTCACAAGAGCAGCACAGAGCCCAGTATAGCATCTTCCAAGCCCCCTATGAACGTTCATCAAGTCTCAATGCCCCACAGTGAGGTGGGCAACTACCATTATCCTTGCCTCACAGGTGGGGAAACCGAGGCATGGAGAGGGTAAGTGAGTCATCCAAGTCCACAGAGCCAGTCAGTGTCAGATCCAGGATTAGAATTTAAGAAGCATCCAATTCCTATAGGGATGGACACCAGTATAAAAACCCCAGTGAGACAGACACATCTATAGGAGCTCACGGCTCCCAGGTCAAACACTCAGACCACTAGACCCGGCTGCTTCTCTACCAGCACTGCTCAGCCTGTGGGGCTGCGACCAGCAATTATCTGGGGAACGGACGTGGTAAATCTACAGCTTGTTTAGGTCCTTTTATCGTGCCTACCCAGCAAGGTACCTGAACACCCATTTGTTTTAAGATCAGTGAGAAACATCTTTTGCAGACAATCCAAGAGCTGTGACGAGCTCTGAATCTTGGTGCTGTCTGCCTGGCATCAACGTTAGAGAGCCCATGGGGTACCCGCTGCCGTGAGAACCGTGTCTGGAGAGGAGTGTTGAATTTTGGCAGCATGTACTATTTGGCCACCACTCGCCACTCCAGAGGTGGCTGCATTTTCCACAGAGCTATAGAGCACTTCAGGGTGGACAGCCCTGTAGAAATATAAGCGATGACAATGGAATCAGAGCGGGGAGGGATTATTTGCATCCGGATCCCTTCTGGAGTCTGTCCTGCTTATTTGCACCCAGCCCGCGGAATTCAAATGCAGGAGGCTTTGGGGAATGGCCCGGGAGGGGGCAGGGCTGGATTACCCACTTGTTTGCTTACATGCTGCCATCTCCTAGCAACTCAGCCGACAAGCCTGGCGCAACAATAGGTTTCCGTTGGGGAGCGAACGGCTCTTTCCAAGGCTGGTTCGTGCCAGGGCTCACACCCACTGCCAGGTCTAGCAGAGCAGCTTTTCTCTCTTCCCAGCAGCTGAGTGCAAAACAGGGTCTCCACAGGCTGCCTGGTGGTGAACGCGCTGTCCCCTCAGCAGGGGAGAGAACACACATGGAGGGGATGGGAGGAAACCCTCTCCCAGAGGGCTCAAGCCCATTGTGCTAGGGGCTGTACATACATACAGTGAGGCAGCCCCTGATTACATTAAGAACATAAGAATGGTCATACTGGGTCAGACCAAAGGCCCACGTAGCCCAGTATCCTGTCTTCTGACAGCGGCCATTGCCAGATGCCCCAGAAGGAATGAACAGAACAGGGAATCATCAAGTGATCCATCCCGTCGCCCATTCACAGCTTCTGGCAAACAGAGGCTAGGGACACCATCCCTGCCCATCCTGGCTAATAGCCATTGATGGACCTATCTTCCATGAACTTATCTAGTTCTTTTTTGAACCCTGTTATAGTCTTGGCCTTCACACGTCCTCTGGCAAGGAGTTCCACAGGTTGACTGTGCATTGTGTGAAGAAATACTTCCTTTTGTTTGTTTTAAACCTGCTGCCTATTATTTCATTTGGTGACCCCGAGTTCTTGTGTTATGGGAAGGAGTAAATAACACTTCCCTATTTACTTTTTCTACACAAGTCATGATTTTATAGACCTCTATCATATCCCCCCTCAGTCGTCTCTTTTCCAAGCTGAAAGGTCCCAGTCTTATTAATCTCTCCTCACACGGAAGCTTCTCTATACCCCTAATCCTTTTTGTTGCCCTTTTCTGAATCTTTTCCAATTCCAATATATATATTTTTTGAGATGGTGCGACTATATTGCACACAGTATTCAAGATGTGGGCATACTCGGGATTTCTATAGAGGCAATATGATATTTTCTGTCTTATCATCCCTTTCTTAATGATTCCCAACAGTCTATTTGCTTTTTTGACTGCCGCTGCACATTGAGTGGAGGTTTTCAGAGAACTATCCCCAATGACTCCAAGATCTTTCTTGAGTGGTAACACCTATTTTAGTGGTAACCCCTCATTTTATAGATATAGTTGGGATTCTAAACAGATGAGAGAAACCAATGCTCCAGAACTGTTAGAACTAAATCAAGATGAAAAATTACCTGAAAAAACAGAGTTTGTGCCCTTTTTTGGTTCATGATTTATCCCCAAAGTTCAGGGGTTTGTTCCCTAATGTATGAAAGTCCCACCCCCACCCAGAAAAGTGTGCTTTTTCCTGCTTGCTTTGTACATTAGAATTTCAGGTCTCTTCTGCCCTGGAAAACTCTACGGATGACTGGAAAGCTACTGGGTTT